ATTCAGCTCGGTACCCTATGACCTAGTTTTTTTTAGGTCATGACCTATATTTTCTGGGTCATGACCTAGTTTTTTCTAGGTCATGACCTAGTTATTTCTAGGTCATGACCCAAATTTTTGCAGATTTTAAATTTTTTTTTCCAGCTCAAATACTTCTTACGACCAAGAAGCGTGTCATCGTGTCTCTGGCTGAAATGCATGGAATGTGAAAAGGAAATTGCTGAAAAAATGCAAGAAGCTGCTGAAAATGCGAAAATATCGCCGATTTTCTATGAAAATCTCTCGAAAAATGAGGAAGAAAATGAGGAAATTTTGAATGAAACGATGAGAATTAGCGATTCAGAAGACGAAAATCCCGAAGACGTCGATTTGGTGACGTGGGAGATTGTGGAAGCGGCGGAAATTCCGAATTTAGAGCACCAGAAAATCAATAAAATCAAAGAAAATCCACTGGAATTGGCGACGGAAATGCTCGGGAAAAGCCTGAAACTCGTTGCTGAAACTAAAAATGAGCTGAAAATCGCGCGAGAGCTTTTGGAAAAATCGGAGAAGAGATTGGAGGATGTGGAGACAGAATTGAGGGATTTAAAGGCGAATTTCAGGAATCTTTGGAGAAAAAAAATCAATAATTTTTAAATTTCTAACAATGTGATACATTTTTATGTGATTTTTCTTGTAAAATGACTTCTTTTTCCATGTTTTTTGACTGTTTTACTGTAAATTTTGGGTTTTGTAGGCAGTAAAATCGCCTTTTAGAGCGAAAATTAGATGTTTTTGGCAACAAAAAAAAAATCTAAAAACAGGTTACTGTAGAAACTCAAAGGCGCATGGCGGGACGCTTGAGTGAGTGGTCTCGCAGCGAAAATCGCCGAGTTGAAGAAAAAGTCCGCAAACACCACCACCCGAAATTGCACAGAAACGTTTTTCAACGTGGATTTTCAGGATACCTTCCAACCTGAGAATAAACCTGAACAGCACTGAAAAACGAATTTTTCTATCCTTTTTTCTAGAAAAAATGTCGCGATTTTTGAAAATGCCCCATGAGGCCTACACTCGACGATGTCTTTCTCAACGATTCATTCGTTACCATTTCTATGAGGTTTTTCTTTATTTTTTAGTTTTTTAAAAATATTGATTTTTAGCCAAATATCGAGTTCGGAATCCTTCCTGAAGATCTGGAGAAAACCGAAATTGATTTTCTGCGATCTATGTTAAGAAACATGGATCCAACTTCTCGTAAGAGGAGATTTGGAGGAAATTTGAATTTTTAAAAAATTTCGAATGTACGGAAGTGCTCAGGAGCTTTTAGAAAATCTGAAAATTTATGCTAATTTTCCGGGAAATGATAATTTTTTCGATACGAAATATGAGCCTTATCAGGTAAAGATCTAACTGAAAATCTAGAAAAAATCGATTTTTTCAAGAAAATTCTGAAATTTTTGAATTTTGAAAAATCTGAAATTTTTAAATTTTTTTTTCCATAAAAATTTCATTTAATCTGAATTTTTGAATTTTTTCCATGAAAATCTGAAATTTTTGAAATTTTTTCCAAAAAAAATTTTTTTTTAATCTGAAAATGCTGCATTTTTTCCAAAAAAATATGAAATTGTTTGAATGTTTTTTCACAAAAAATTGAAAAATACTCAAAATTTTCACATATTTTTTGAAAAAAACCCGAAATTTTGGAATTTTTTTCCAAAAAAAATCTGAAAGTTTTGAATTTTTTCGAAAAAAAACTTGGAAAAAAAATCTGAAATTTTGCATTTTTTCCATGAAAATCTGAAAATTTAAAATTTTTTCCGAAAAAAAAAGAAAAAAATCGCATTTTTCGAATTTTTTCTAAAAAAATCTGAAATTGTCTAATTTTTGAAAATCTGCGTTTTTGAAATCTGGAAAATACAGAATTTTTTTACTTTTTTTCCCAATAAAAACTGGAAATCTTCAGGTTTTCTTTAGGAAAAATAATGGAAAAAAGCGGTAAAAATTTTAAGTTTTGACTTTTTTTTTTTGAAAATTTCATAGAAATTTTATAGATTTTGAATCAATTTTTTGAATTTTCGGCTTTTTTTCAGAACTCGCCAACCTTCTACTATAGCTTGAAGGATAGCGATAAATACATTGCCAAATCGGATCTTTTTGTGATTCTTCAGAATATCATGTTTAATATTTCGGACACCTCTGATTTCTGTTTGCTTTCAATTTTTATTGGTCATCTCAAGCTCCAAGAGCAACGAATTGGCTCTAATTTCGAGTTTGTCAAATGCGATGAATCGATTTTAGAGGAATTTTACAACTCAATGCTTCGAATTTGAACAGGCACAAAATTACTGTAATTTTACTGTTTATTAATATTTTTAAAGGTGGTGTACGGTGGAAATTTTTATTGCATCAAAATGTGCAGAAATGCATGTAGATTGACATAAAAATAAAGAAAAAATTCAAAAAAAATTCTTTCATTGAGAAAAACGGCATCGAAAAATCAAAGTGGGAATCGGTGGCCAGGTGTGAGTTTTCTTGGCCAACTGCCGGTAAAAGCGTGCGAAATTCGAATTTTTATTGATTTTCAGTGTTTTTTCTGATTTTTG